TTTTTTTTTCGAAAATGTTATTAAAATAATTTTGGTTTAATAAAAATTCTTGAAATCATGATAGAAAATTCGTGTCGGTGAGACGGTCCTCCATTTCTCTCCGGCCGCGCGATCTGGCCGATCTGTTCGTTTCACCTACCATCACTTTTCATTTGGGCGGTGGAGGGCAACTAGTGTATTTGCCGTAGTCCAGATATTAGCTTGTCCAAAGTCGGCACATCGTCAAAATGTAAATACGTCTTTTACATAGCCGTTGACGTGTTGTAAATCAGAAAACGAGACGGGTACTATACGGTTAAATGTGTACGGAATACAGGGTACATCACGATTCCGAACGAATGACGGTTATCAGAAAATTTGGTTTTTTAGCCAAAAACGAACGATTGCTAACGTTTTTATAGACTATGTTGCCAAGTTTACAAAAAAATTTTTAAAACTATTAATATTAATAACACAAATAATACAACAACTACGTTAGAAACTAAAATAATACATACAAAATAATGGATTTTGAAAATTGTCTTTTACATTTTTGCTTTTTTTTACATTTTTTTCCTGGTAACCTGGTGTGCAAAATCCTATAGCATAGTAGTCGCATAGTTGTCACACTGACAGTTGAGAAGTTACGAATAAGTGCCTGTTGACTTCTCAGAGATATGTTATGGACGCTTAACGCCAAGTTAAACGAAGTTACTGTATGGGATATCATTATGTGATTACTATGGGAAGTCAATAATGTCATATTAAGAGGTTAATAATGTTAGTACATAAAGATTAACGGAACTTTTCATTTTCTGCGCATAGACTTCGCAATTATTTTGTCCAGAAAATAAAAAAAAACCCCGTAAGTTTATTTCATGCTCGCCGAGATTTGAATCGTTCACCCCTACCTACCTACTCGTATATGTATATTAGCTACTAAGTATTATTCAATTATTTATTCGATCCAAGAATTAATTTTATCCCGTATCCGGCCTTTCCGGGAGATCCCGTATTAGATGTTATTTTAAAATTTAATAAGAAGGTATTAATAGAATAATTAAATTACCAATAGCTAAAAATACTGATACCCCGATAATATTGTACTGTACTGTTTGTATTACGGTCGAAATTTATACCATTCAAGTTATTCAACTACTGTGTTCGGTGTTCAATTTGCTCAGATTTGTTCAGTCGTCACTCGTCAGTGTTTGTCTAATTGTTGTCAAATATTTAATATTTATATTTTATGCTAATATACTTATAGTTTTAACGTTATACGTTTTCTATATATTAGTTAATTCATAGTTGAAATTCAAAATTTCAAAATAATAATCATGATTTTTTTTTTTTATATTTATTATTTTATTATAAAGTCCTTAAAGCCTAGAAAATTTATTACATTGAATAAAACATTATTGTTTATTACTCTTAAGATTAATTATTATCATACTGTTCTATCATTTATTTTGTTTCCATTTCTTTACGAACTACCTATGTATTGTAATTTAATTTGTATCACTGTACCCTATATTATGTAAATAATATGTAATATGGTTATCTAACCCATTTAATTAAATAAATAAAATAAAATAAATAAAATTATATAATACCTACTTAAAACTCAAAATAGGGAAATCATGTCCCCAAAAAAAGGTCGTAGTCACTTTTAAATTGCGGCCTGTGTACTTTTAAAACAGGTATCTAAATGCTTTTGAATTTTAAATAACGATAAACGCAAAAATTGTACAACGTTTTAATTATGAATAACGATAAACTCAAAATTTTTATAACGTTTTGATTGTAAATAACGTAAAACAAAATTTATTTTTCAAATGCAAGCCCTGGTCAGTACTATTGCATATTTTAATCAAAATTTGAAAAGCCAAACATACTTCACTATTTGAACAATGGTGTTTCTTTGCACTTGAATAATATAAATGGTCTGTAGACACTTGGCAACATAATCCATATTTAGAGACAATGTATAGTATAGAAGTAAACATCAATTTACTTCCCCTTTTTCAGTAATATTAAACTATGAAATATGTAGATTGGCAACCGGTTATTTTAATTTTTTACCGTTGGTATTTTTCTTACACCAAATTAATTTTTAATTAAAATTTCAATGTTGGGTAGGTATGTATTTATATAATTTTGATATTATGAGTTTCTGACTAGGTAGTGTAAAAACTACATAATATTTATTTAACTCAATATTATTTTATTATAATTAAAACAATAGGTATTATTGATTTTTTTGTTGCCTTTCAATGTTTTACCAACTGGAGCAACTGCTCTTTTTGCACTTTTCTTGATGCACCCTAATAAGTGTAGAAGCGAAGATTAATTTAAATTTGAAAGTTTCAAATTTTTTTCAAATTGAAACTAATGATAAATTAATAATTTATAAAAATGTAAGTAAAGTATTGTAACGATTGTTACATATTATTAATGTTTACTCATGTAATATGGATATTGCTGAGTAGACAACACTTAATTTACATGTTATTACATTAAGTCGCGGCAGTTCTGCCACAACGTTCGTCCGAGGTAGCTGAACTCCATAGTCCGTAAGTCTAATTTATATATGTATATTAAATAATAACTAAAACTAAATCAATCTACATTTATTTGTAATATCAAGATCTTTCCTCTTATGCTCCCGAGCTACGGTATAATATATTCATAAGGACTAGAAAACCTTCCCTGAATATCATATATTTAACTGGTCATCCCCGACCACGTTACAGTATCAATCTGATTTTACATACCTGTTTATTGTTTTTGTCCTATTTTTGGTAATTAATCCCAAATTTTGGAAAATTATTTTCCACCACATACCGTGTTTGATTCTTTTTATTAATGATTTTAACGAAAGATTGATGAATCATAAATTGTTACTAACAGTGCTGTAACTGAACTACTCGAGACCCACGGCAAATCAAAATCTTAAGGCCCCTTATTGTTGTACATTTTTTAGCATTTGACCTTTTGATGGCCACGGTATGATATGGTACGAAGCCATAGGTTAGGTTAGAATGTTCAACTAGTCTTCAAATAGACTCCAAATATTGGGGGTACTGAAAATGCTGAAAATAAAGTTAAATGGTATATCAAATATAGTTAACTGTAATTACTATAGATTATATACATCTGAAAAAAAAAAAGCAGTGCAACATTTGAACTCAGGAGTACTAAATACCCTTTTGCGCCCCCTTTAGTTGCGCCTATGTACGAGATTTAATAAATTCAAGTGAATTTTATTGGTTTATTAAAAATGTTAATCCATTATAAAAAGAAAACATAATTATTTATTACAAAGAAAATTACACTTGCAAAATATCTAAAAACTATAACATAATGCAACGCCATGTCAGTTGACGCTACTAGCCATAGACAAGTCTATTACTATATAGTATACAGTATAAAAGTATAATAAAAATAACCTACAATAACAATCAGGAACTGTGTCTAACTTCAACAAATTTAACAAAATTAAGTTTAAAGATCTTCTATAAATATATCAATCAGATATTGATGTAAAGGAAATAACTCCAATGAGTGAATTCATAATATAGCATCAACAATTAAAAAATGAAATATCCAACACAATAGAAGCATTAAATAATTGCAATGAAGATATAGGTATTCCAAACTATATACATAATTACAACCATTACTTTTAATTATATTAGATACTTTGCCGGTCACATCTACACCCCGCGACTTCGTTTTCGTTTCGACATCCTTTTAAACACTTCGATGTATGAAATCATATTTACGAAGTATCTACTTACTTACTTACTAATAGTAAAAATCGTCTATCTGATTTGGCAGTTATGAATATACATCGTGATATATTAATGTCAGTAGAAGATGCAATACCTGAAATAAGTATTACACGTCATCGATTAAGATGAATGTAATAATCAAACATTATAAATCAATTTTCAAAATATAAATAATATTGTAGACAAATATATATGTTACGGGCAAAGTATACAATTTGGTCATTTTACATAATGGCTGGGCACTATATAAAATGCCCGACCATTATGTAAAATGACCTTCATAACTACTACAATTACTATGTAATTGTAAAGTATAAAGCATTTTATTCATTATATTTTAACTTTATAAACATGATAAATATTAACTAGGAGGTATCTATACTAATATTATATTTTATTACTATTTAATTATATTTCATTACTTATTAGTAGTAATTATTTATTACCATTGAGTAATGATAATATTTATACTCAATATTATCAATTTATTACTTATTATCGCATGCACTACTCCTGTGGCATTTTGATGTGCATAGTCTCTCCGCAGCTTTGCACTTGCACTTCCGTGTTTTACATTTTTGTACACACGTACATCGGTCGTAGCCCTGACCACCCATATTAGAAAATATCCGTGCTGTCTCTCGGAGTGTGGTTTATGGCACATCATCGACTTTCAGAAATCTTTCCTTGCAAATTACAAATTGGTTTCTACTATACAAAGTTGAAAGGCGACCTTCCTTAGTCCCTATTTCGTACATGTCATTGTTAACTGTAAAACAAATTTTATTAGTTTATCTGGAATATTAATAATAAAAGTATAGTATTTATAGGTACTCGAAAGAATAACTCCAATAATATTTCTAAAATCACTACGGGCCCTATCGACGTCTGGAATCTTAACCGTTACTGACTGACCAACTTCGCCGGGACGGAAACGATTTTCGGAAGCTTGCTTCATTTTTGTCGCTTAAACTTTTAAATTTTTAAGTGATTCATTTCTACTCTCACAAATAGATTTTATTCTTAAAGGTACAGCTAAAATAAAACAAACACATAGAGTAATTTTAATAATATTACCTACTCAATAAGAAATATTATTATTACTATTATTTTATTTTATACCTTCGGTATTTTCGATATCGTTGTTACTGTTTGAAGTAGTGGAAATAGAATTCAGAGCTGTTTCGAGGTCTTCTTCGGTTCTTAAATCGCTTATTATATTTATTGGCAGAAGTGTACTCTTTAATCCAATTTTTGCTTTTGTACCGAACATTACTTCGTAAGGTGAAAATTTTATTCCTGAGTGTAATGAACAGTTTTTCATAAACTGGATAAATTTTAACCCCTCACTCCATTTTTTAGTACGGTTATCTGTCAACCAAGTAGCAAGCATATTTTCAATGTCCTGGTTAGCTCGTTCAACTGAACCCTGGCTCTGTGAGTGACGAGGTTTACCATGAACTATTTTAAGTTCTGGCCACATCACACATATTTCAGTTACAACTTTATTTGCAAATTCTCGACCATTATCCGATTGTAAAATTGACGGTGCTCCGAATGTTGTGAAAATATCTAATAATACATACGCTACGTTTTCAGCACGTTTGTGTTTTAACGGTCGAAGTAGTACGTATTTTGTGAGGTGGTCCTGGTAAACCAATATAAACTTATACTCACCATCCGATTGTGCTTGCATATCTATTAGGTCAATTTGACAGCGAGAATTCATCTCAGAAGATATAATTGGTTTTACCACCAGCCCTTTATTGGCTGTGCTTCCTTTTTTTTGACATGATTCGCAACTATTTAAGTATAGCATAATAGTATCTCTAGTGATATTTTTGTACTTTGTATTTAACTCGTGTTCCATTCTGTTTCGGCCACCGTGTCCAATTGATAAATGAACATCGTGTATAATATCAAATAACTCTTCATCGTGTACATAATATTTAATTTCATTATTTTCAGATACAGGTACAATTAACTTGTTAACATTAGCAACGTTTAACACGTCGTATTTTTTTAAAAGGTTATAATCATTCGGTTCCTTTTTTTTT